TCGGGCTGCCACGCGCTCCGGAGCCCTCTCCCCGTCCGGCGGGCTGGCGGGGGCTGCTCGGTCACCCCACGGGAAGCCTGGCCCGAGCTGGGGCCGGTGTTCGGAGGTCAGCCCAGCTCCGGGCGAGGTCTACGCGCAGAACCGCCCTCCCGGTCTCAGCCGTCCTTGGCTACTCGGACCCAGCCCGCAGGATGCCCGGGGGCAAGACGGGAGCCAACGTTAAGCGCTATTGCTAGGGCCCTTAAAATACTCTTTGGTTTACCAAGTAGGGAATTTCGCCGGAAACTTAGAGGAAATGAAACCGAGGCTCAAAAGAGGTTAGATGACTTCCTCTGTATTACATAATTAGAAGGTAATAGCCAGGAATCTAACCCTGGTTTCAATTCCAAATGCGCTACTTTGGCTTCCCAGGCCTCTATACAGTAGCTGCTTTAAAAAAAAAATTTTTTTAAGTACCTATAAGCCCGCCGCCTTTTTTAAAAATAATGGGTTTACAGGTGCCTGAATGCGATCTGTTGACTAAAAACAGGGCTGTTCCTTCCCAGGGCTCGTTAATTACCTCAACTTACTGGATGCCCTCATCTCTACATACTGGACGATAGCAACAGCCATCTAATTGGTCTCTCAACCTCCAGCCCCAAGGCCCCAATCTCTTTAACAATCCACAACCAGACTGGTAATAAAATGCTGGTTACATTGTGCCACCACTCTGATCAAGGATTTTGCTAAGGCCCTGGCATGCTACACCTTCTCCCTACCTTCCACCCCATTCCCCATCAGAAAAGCTGCCTCCTAGCAAAGACTGCAGATGAAATTCATTGTCTCCCCAAACCCTTCCTTCACACACATGGCCTACTTCTGCATAAACCATTTCCCTCTTCTCTTTGACCATACTGTTTCTACCCATCTTTCTTGATTCACAGCAAGTCTGAATTCTTGTAAAATAACAATCTTATACCTAAACGGGTCTTAATATACTACCAAGGAAATAGAAATCCAGGTTCTCGGCCTACTTTCCCTATTGGGACCTTGGAAATTGTGTGCTTAATTTCTTAATTCTCAGCTTCTTCATCTGCAAAATAACATCTATATTTATGGGGCTGTGTGATTAATAATGAACTAACATTTTTTTAACACTACATGCCAGGCATTTTGTAACACTCTTTACACAAATGCATATTTTAAAGGACTCAAGTACTATGCAAATATTCTTATCAACTAGCCTATCCCTTCATTTGAAAGACAAGGAACTTAGAGCCCTGGTTAAGTGGTTTTTCTTTAATGAACTGGCCAGGATTAGAGCTCAAATATCCTCCTAGACTTTCACCAACCCTGCTTTGTGATTAACCTTATCACTCCATTTACAGAAGTCTCTGAACTCACTGCACCATCTGTACTTCTTGCATGTGTCACTTCTTGAGACGCAGAACCTTGATTCAGAAGCACAGAAACCATGAGGAATATGATTGATGAAAACACACAAGAGAAGACCTAAGGCCTAGTCTTCAATCTCTCAGTAATGCAATGAGTAAACTTAGGTTAGTCACTTTTTTCGCATCTGTAAAATAAAGGAGTTAAAAACTATTATCTCAACTAAGGCCTCTTTCAAGCCTAAAACATTGTGATGTTTTTAAATTCCTCAACTGGCTGGATCTTCAAAGAGACTGACAAGAACTGTGGTTTACTTGTGAAAGCAATGGCCACAATTGCAAAGCCAATCATATTTTAAAAGCTTGATGTGGGAGGGTGAGGCAGTTAGTTTAGTTGGTTGGTGTTTTATTTTTGCAAATTTTGTTGATTATAAATTTATACATTACCATTGTATTAGTTTCTAGGATGCCAAAACAAAATACCACAGACTGGCCTAACAACAGAAATTTATTTTACAGTTCTGGAGGCTAGATTATCCACAAACCTGGATTCTTCTAAGGCTCTCTTCTTGGCTTGTAGATGGCTGCCTTCTCTCTGTGCTCTTACGTGGTCTTCCCTCTGTGTGTATGTGCCCCAGTATCTTTTTTTAAGGACACCAGTCATATTGGATTAGGGCCTATCCTAATGACCTCATTTTGCTTTAAGTACCTCTTTGGAGACTAGCTCCAAAAACAATCACATTCTGAGGTACTAGAGGTTAGGACTTCAACATGAATTTGTTAGGGGGCACAATTCAGCTCATAACACTAGTGTAAAAATTTCAGCAAAGATTTTTTTTAAATGAACACATCTAGTGCATTCTTGTAACATTACTAATATGATAGGTTCACAATCCTCATCTGAAACCCCTAAGCCTGGATACATTTTGTAAGTAAGACTTTTTGGGATTTTCAAAAGGCAGTATGGTACAAACACTACATAATTACCTAACCCTCTGAGTGGGTTCTGAAGTAGTACACCATAATCAAATGCATGAATATTTATGTAAAACACAAATAGTCACACTATGTTGAAAAATAAAGTTGATAAATCACTTTATATCAGTTCTACTCAGGTTCTACTGCTAAATGATTACAGGTCAGGTAAAATATGAAGATGCTTTCAATTTTCAGTGCTTTTTAGGTTAGAGAATTATGAAAAAAGGATGTTCACCTGTAAGAATCTGAGGGCAAATTCAGAATGGAAATATTAAGATTAAAAACATTCATATTCTCTGACACAGCAGTTCCACTTTGGGGAATATATACTAAGGATACAGCCTGAAATACATAAAAAGCTTTTGCACAGAAGAAGTCATTGCAGTTATTTTAATAAACATTGAAAATAACCTGAATGCCCATCATAAAGAGGAATAGTTAAATAAATAATGATCTAACCAAAAATCCCTGATTTTTAAGTAGTCACTGAAAACTATGTTGAGGATCTCAAGAGACATTTTTCCAAGGAAGACATACAGATGGCCAACAAATACAGGAAAGGTGTTCAACATCACTATTCATAAGGGAAATACAAATTAAAACCACAATCAGATGTCATATCACAACTGTTAGAATGGCTACTATCAAAAAGACAAGAAATAAGTGTTGGCCAAGATGTGGAGAAAAAGGAACACTTGTACCCTATCAGTGGGAATGTAAGTTGGTGCAGCCACTATGGAAAACAGTATGGAGGTTTCTCAAAAAATTAAAAATGGAACTATCATATGATCCAGCAATTCTACTTTGGGTGTTTATCCAGAGAAAACAAAAACACTAGCTCAAAGAACATGCACCCTCATGTTCCTTGCAGCATTATTTCCAGTAGCCAAGATATGGAAACAATTTAAGTGTCCATCAATGAATGAGTGGATAAAGAAATTGTTATGTATATGTATATACACATATATACATATATATAAATAATGGAATATTATTTGGCCATAAAAAATAATAAAGTCTCACCATTTGTGACAACATGGATGGACCTCGAGGGCATTATGCTAAGTGAAATAATTCAAGACAAAGACAACTACCATATGATCTCACTTATATGTGGAACCTAAAAGAAAAACAAAACAAGCTTATGGATACAGAGAATAGATTGGTGGTTGCCAGAGGCAAGAGGGAAGGGGAGCTGGCAAATAGGTAAAAGAAGTCAAAAGGGCAAACTTCCAGTTATAAAATAAATGTCATAGGATGTAATGTACAGCATGGTGAATATAGTTAATAACACTGTATTGCATATTTGAAAGTTGCTAAGAGAGTAGATCTTAAAAGTTCTCATCACAAGAAAAAAATTCTGTAACTATGTATGGTGACAGATGTTAACTAGACATAGTGTGATGATCATTTTGCAAATATACAAGTATCGAATCATTATGTTAAACATCTAAAACTAACATAATGTGTCAATTGCACCTCAATAAAAAAATAAAATGTCACTGATTCAAAAATAAATAAATATAGTGAAAGCACTGTTTGTGGCACTGTGTATTATCTTTATAGTCTCTTTTGCTTTCTTGCCCAAATTTAAAACAACAAAACATGATGTTGATGAAGAATCTGTAAGAAGAGGCAGTGCTTATGTTGTAATGTTAAGTGACAAATGCAGAATATAAAACTGAATGTATAGTAAAGACTAAACTGTATTAAAAGCATAGAAAAAAAGATCAGAAGGAAACGCACCAAAATATT